GGCTCCCTGCTCAGCGGGGGGTCTGCTTCCCCCTCTGCCCTCTTCTCTCTCATGCTCTCTGTCTCTCATTCTCTCTCTCTCTCAAATAAATAAATAAAATCTTTAAAAAAAAAAAAAAAGGATGCTCAGCATTGCCTCATCTCCCCCTTTGCTGTGTTCTCCCGACAGGAGAAGGCCCTGGCCTCCTTCAGCCCCCAGTGGAGCCTGGACCGGTGAGGAGGCCCCAGCAAACTCTGTCTGAGTGACCTGCCTCCATCCTCCCTAGGGGGGCTGCTCCCGCTTTGCCCACATGCTATGGAGGGTCTCCTGTGGTGACAGGCTGGGCTCTCACCGTGCAGGAGCCGTACTCCCAGGGGACTAGATGAGGACCTGGACACTGGGGACGCCAAGTTCTTCCAGGTCATCGAACAGCTCAACTCTCAGAAGTATGGAGAACGGAAGGCGGCCGGGAGGGTTTTGGGGCTGGGCCCCCGCGGTATGGGACGGATGTGTTCCCCTGAGGATCCGGCAGGAAGGGAGCGGCTTCCCTGCTCCAGCCCAGGGAAACACACACCTGGTCACCACCCCCCCCACACACCCTGCCCTGCCCTTTCCTCTCTGGGGCTCACTGCCATCCACCTCCCACCAGACAGTGGAAGCAGTCAAAGGACTTCAACCCACTGACACTGTACTTCAGAGAGAAGGAGCTGGAGAAAGAGGTGGGTGTGGGGGGTGATAGCGGAGAATTTTCTAACCTTAGTTCCTTGGCCTTGGGGAGCGGGCAAGCGCCATGGTCGCACCTCACCTCCCAGGTCTGCCCAGTTTGTGATCCTGGGGGTGAGGGGCTTGGGCCTCTCTCCAAATGGACGTCACCCTGTCGATTGGGTCCCTAGGTGGGGATGGGAGGGAGGAGGGCGGCTCCTTAGAGAACCGGTAGGGGGTACCTGAGACTGAATTGGCGGGGGGGGACACGTGAGTCTGGGGCACCCGCTTCTTGCCTGCAATGGACACCTCCAAGGTGATGGGCAGCCCTGGTGGCCCCTGTCGCCACACTGACCCCTGTCCTTCCAGTATCGACTCTCTGCCCTCCCCGCCTTCAAATACTATGCAGCCTGCACCTTCCTGGTCTTCCTCTCCAATTTCATCATCCAGATGCTGGTGACCAACAGGTGAGAGCCCCAGGCAAGGGCGGCCCTGAGTCTCGTACAGGGACCACCAGGCTCCTGCTGATCCTTGACCCACACTTTCTTCCTTTACCCACTTCCCCTTGGCCTCAGACGCTGAGCCACAGAGAAAGTATGTGTTCTGGGGAAGCAGTGATAATCACAGCCTTCATTTTACTATCTTACACCCTGTGGACTGTCTACATAATCCAAGCACTTTCACATGCCTGTCTCTGGGTCCTGACAACTTTTCCATGAAACAGGTTCTGTTTTCACTGAGAAGCCCAAATCTCACCGCAAATGAGCTTAGAAAGGAGGTCCTCGTTTTTAGTGCATGGCTAGGAGGGGCTGCAAGGACTTGTCCAAAACTCAGCCAGGCGCAAGAGCTTTGGCCTGAAGGCCCAGAGACTGGCCTGATGGGGCCTCGGCCCCTTCGTGAGCCCCTGCCCCCTTCCAGTACTGTCCCTACCTTATTAGCCCCTGCCCCCCCCACCACTGCCCTAGACCCCCTCAGCTTTCCCGGATCATCAGCATGCAATGCCTTGTATTGGCCCAGACCCCACTGGGGGCCGGTTCAGATCCCCAGGACTGCTCCTCCCCACGTCTCCCAACCAGGGTGCACAGCACCCTCGCAGCACACGCAGCGTCCTCTGCCCCTTCAAGGCCTCACTCGCTCTTGTCTCCCTAGGCCCCCAGCTCTGGTCATCACTTACAGCGTCACCTTCCTCCTCTTCTTCCTCCTCCTCTTCGTCTGCTTCTCAGAGCACCTGACGGTGAGGTGGGCTGGGGGGTGGAAGTGGTCAGTTGGGCCCTGACCATGACCTGGCCTGAGGGGGGGTGTGCGCCAGCCCCATGGCTAAGATTCTTGTGCTCCTTCCACAGAAGTGTGTCTTGAAAGGCCCCAAGATGCTGCACTGGCTGCCCGCACTGTCTAGCCTGGTGGCCACACGGCCCGGCCTGCGAGTTGCCCTGGGCACGGCCACCATCCTCCTCGTTTTTGTCATGGCTATTACCGGCCTGGTGAGGGCAGAGGGGGCCCTGTGCACCCCCATCAGGGCCTGTTGGACCCATCAGAGGCTGAGAGGGGGCCCCTGGATTTGGGAGAGCAGCTGGACCAAGGCCAGGGGATCCTGGCAATGTCGGACAAGCATAAAGAAAAAAATTAATCTGCCACCTGCGTAATTGCTTATAACACTCTGGTGGACATCGTTCCTATCTTTTCTATGTAGGCAGATCTTCATTGCTTAGCTCACTCACTATGATTTTGTAGCTGAGCCTGGCAGGTTTTTCAGAACTTAGAATCACTCCTAGAATTCTATCCCTGAAAGACACCTTAGGAATCCTCCCCCAGCCAAGTCACAGAAGAGGAAGCTGAGGCCCAGAGAGGTAATGTGGCTGGCAAGAGATCACACAGTGGATGCACTGGCAGACTGGTGCTCAGGACACCCACTCCTCCCATCCCTGACCGCCCAGCGAGGACGCCAATGCTAAGGCTCCCTCACCAGCCCAGAAATAGCAGGATCCACCCCTTTGGAGGAGTCTGGCCCTCACTCATCCCTAGGTCAGCTGAAACCCAGCACAAGCCACCATTATGCCCCAGATGCTGCCTGCCCACCTCAGCTCTTCACCTCCTTCTGCAGTTCTTCTTGCCGGCAGCATCAAACTGCACTTCCCGGGCTGCCAATGTGTCCTCCGTGGCTTCCAACCTCTCCTGGGAGCTCCCTGGGTCCCTGCCTCTCATCAGCGTCCCAGTGAGTGTTCCTCACAGCCCTGAACTTCTTTCTCCAGAGCCTTCCTTGGCCCGTCCCCCACCCCCTTACTTGAGAAGCATTCCATCTTATGGATTGGGATGGACATAAAACACACTCGGTGTGTGTTTGTGTGTATGACACTCCCCTGGGCCCTGGGAGGGGTAGGACAGGAGCCCTGGGATATTCTCCCACCCCTGTCCGTGGCATATGCCCCGTCCCTTGACCACCCCACCCGGCCCCACAGTACTCTATGCATTGCTGCGTGCTGGGGTTCCTGTCCTGCTCCCTCTTTCTGCACATGAGCTTCGAGCTGAAGTTACTGCTGCTCCTGCTCTGGCTGGGGACCTCCTGCTCCCTCTTCCTGCACTCCCATGCCTGGCTGTCCGACTGTGTCCTCGCCCGCCTCTATCCGGCTCCCTCGGACTCCAGGTGCGCACAGCCACTGGACAGAGGGGCCCGGGGCCTCTTGGAGCAGAGCAGAGCTGTCCTCGCCTCACTGACCTGAAAGGGGGAGGGTGGCTGAGGGCTACATGGGCCCTCGGGGTAGGGAGGAGGCCATCAGGAAGGGGCAGGGCAAGGGGCAACCCTGATGTGTGGCCTCCTCAGGCCAGGGGTGCTGAAGGAGCCCAAACTGATGGGAGCTATCTCCTTCTTCATCTTCTTCTTCACCCTCCTTGTCCTGGCTCGGCAGGTGAGTCACCCAGCTCAACCCTCCAGAGCTTCCCTTTGAAGGGGAAGATGGGGTGGTCCCCATATTTGTGACTTGGTCTCTCTCACCCTTTCCCTCAATCCTACATCTCCAGGGTTGAGCCCAAATGGTGTGCCCATTGGAAGCTCCAAAGTGAACCTTCCAGCTCCCTTTCTTTCTCCTTCACTCCCCAAGGGAGGGGCCCTCAAATTCTCCCTCCCTCGTCCCTCCCACCCCACGTCCAGGAAAACCACCCTCAAGAAAGAATCTGCTGCCAATTCTGTCTACCCTAGTTTGAATCTAGTTTCAAGGTAGCCTCCCCAGGGAAAGTTGGCCCTTGAGCCTTCTGTCCAGACTGGGGAGTGGTGTGGTTTGAGGCATCATGGAGTTCAGGGGGGCAGGGGGGGAGGGTGAACACTCAGGAGCTGAGGCTCCCCCTGCACTGTGTCTCCCCTTGGGCCCCTGGTGACCCTGCCAGAATGAGTATTACTGCCGCCTGGACTTCCTGTGGCAGAAGAAGCTGCGGCAGGAGCAGGAGGAGACAGAGACAATGGAGAACCTGACGCGGCTACTGCTGGAGAATGTGCTCCCTGCGCACGTGGCCCCCCAGTTCATTGGCCAGAACCGGCGCAACGAGGTGACTCCCCCCGCCGACTCCTGAGCCCCAGATGCCATGGGCACTAATTTTGGTTGGAAATCTTGGCCCTCGGCCATCGTCTCTGGACCCCCCCCACAGTGGGTTGGGTGGCCACCCGGGTCCCTGTCCCTGTCCCTGTCAGGTAGGTGCCTCCATCTTCATAAGCTCTTAGGCTTCGTCCGCTGAGCACAGAACCCCTGTGTTCCAAGTTCTTACTTAGAAGGAGTGTCTTCTCCAACCCATGGCCACTCCATACCTCCCAGAAGCTTCTTCGAGTGTTGATGGGAGTTGTGTGGAAGACACGCAGTCCACCCAGCCCTCTGGACCTGCACTATCCAGAATGGTAGCCAGTAGCCATGTGTGGCCACTTACATTTAAATTAATTAAAATAGAACGTTCAGGGCCTCAGCCTCACTGGCCACACTTCAAGTGTCTAAGAGCTGCTTATGGCCAGTGGCTGCCGTATCAGACATCACATACATAGAACTTTCCAACACCACAGGAATTTCCATTGGTAGATGTTAATCTCCATCCTCACATGTGCTCTAGTCAGACCATCAGAGAAGGTCACCCACATATTGGCCCCATTTTATCTGTACTGCTCACCACTTCCCTCTGCCTGCTATGGAGATACTCTTGGCCTGTCCTGAGGAATGTTAAAAGAGACAGGTCAGGGGCTATTTCACAGCTTTATGCTCCCACCAGTTGCTCTCTGCTCTCAGAGTCAGCGGTAGATCTACTTCTCCTGGTTTCTTCTCTTATTTACACTGGGACTCTCATAACTATTCCTGTTTCTGTCTTCACACTGGCTGCTAGAAAGCTCAGAGCCAGATCCTAGGCCTAACAAGGACTTCGTGTCACCCCTTTTGTGAACCAACTTCAAATAGGATTCCATCTTTACTATCTTACCTTTATTTTCCCTTTGTCCCACTTCCCCTATTATTTTATCTTCCAAATTGTAGCTACCTTTGTAAACTGACTTAACTGGCTTAGCACCCTTCAGCAGTAAGATAGGTTAGAAAGACCATCCCCACCGACATGATCCCAGTTCTTGAAGAGACTCCCTTCACGTTGCCATGAGGTGATCCTGACTCCAAACCCCTGTCTCTCCTGGAATCATAATGAGACCCAATCTTTGACTCCTGAGTCACACATCCCTGGGGTAACCTGGCCCTACCCCTCTCCCTCCTTTCCAGTCCTTCTTAAATGGAGGGGTAAGAGTATGGACACAGGGAGGAGGGCCCATGCAGACCCGCAGGGGGGAAGAACGTGGCTTGCTCCCTCATCCCAGCCTCCCATCCTCCAGGACCTCTACCACCAGTCCTATGAGTGTGTCTGTGTCCTCTTCGCCTCAGTTCCAGACTTTAAGGAGTTTTACTCTGAATCCAACATCAACCACGAGGGTCTAGAGTGTCTGCGGCTGCTTAATGAGATCATTGCTGATTTTGACGAGGTGACAACTCCAAGGGTCCCCCAGACCCTTTGTCTTGGACGCTAGAATTTCCCACCAGTCCCTCCTGCCCACTTACTCTCCAGCCAGGGGCCCATCCTCCTCTCCCTGGCCCTGCCGCTCCTCCTCTGATCCCCCAGCTTTCCAGCAACTCTTCCCACAATCCACTCTCCCTCCTGCCACGCTCCCTGACCCCACAACCTGGTCCTTTCGTCTTCAAAGGCCTGGGGCTGGGCTTCTGAGAGGGAGGAGGGAGAGAGCAAGAAAGACTGGGGACACAGCCTCCTTTCTGTACAGCTGCTCTCAAAGCCCAAGTTTAGTGGGGTGGAGAAGATCAAAACCATCGGCAGCACCTACATGGCAGCCACAGGCTTAAATGCCACCTCCGGACAGGACACACAGCAGGTACAGCATCCCTTCCTTACCCACCAGCCCCCATCTGGGCTTGCGCTCCCGGGCCCTCACTGACCCATGCTGGTGGGCCGGCCCGTTACTAGGATGCTGAGCGAAGCTGCAGCCACCTGGGCACCATGGTGGAGTTTGCAGTGGCCCTTGGATCGAAGCTGGATGTCATCAATAAGCACTCTTTCAACAATTTCCGCCTGCGTGTGGGTGAGGGCCCTCCCTTGCTGGGGCAGTCTGGGACTTCCTCTTCACCTTCTCAGGCTCTTCTTCCCCCCCAAGTCCTTTGTTAGCTACTCCCCAGCTCACCCCTGGACCCCCCCCCGACCAGCCTCATCCCTGGGGGTGGAGCATGAAGCTGCTGGGCCAGGAGCTCTGGGGCTCAGCACCCCTTCCCTAAACCAGACCCCTCCAGACCCATCCTCCTTTCCTCTAAGACCTCCAGGTCTTCCACCTGAGTCCTGGAGCTTCCTCCTCCCCTCGCCCTCCTTAAACCACGCCCCGCCCACCTCCCAGGGCTCCTCCTGACCACACCTCTTGTCAGGGTTGAACCATGGACCTGTAGTAGCTGGAGTGATTGGGGCCCAGAAGCCTCAGTACGACATCTGGGGCAACACGGTGAACGTGGCCAGCCGCATGGAGAGCACTGGAGTCCTGGGCAAGATCCAAGTGAGGAGGCCACATTGGAGGCATGGGGTGGGGGGATAGGACAGGGCCACCCCCACACTCCAGGCTCACACCCTTTCAATCCCAGGTGACTGAAGAGACAGCCCGGGTGCTGCAGGCCTTAGGCTATACCTGCTACAGCCGGGGCATCATCAAGGTCAAAGGCAAAGGGCAGCTCTGCACCTACTTCCTGAACACAGATTTGACACGAACTGGCCCTCCCACAGCCACCCTAGGCTGAGACCCCCATCCTCTCTATTCTAAGATCCTCAATAAAAAGACTCTGGGGGCACCTGGCTGGCTCAGTGGGTTGAGCATCCGACTCTTGATTTAGGCTCAGGTCATGATCTCAGGGTCGTGAGATTGAACCCTGCTTTGGGCTCCGCACTGAGCGTGGAACCTGCTTAAGATTCTCTCTCTCCCTCTGCCCCTTCGCTCTCTCTCTCCTCTCTCTCTGAAAAAAAAAAGACTCTGGTATGACTGGAGCCAATCGATGTCGAAGTTTCTGGTATAGCTGCAGATCACCTTCTCCTTGCCTCTCAACAGGATGCTTCTTCCCAAGCTAAACTGAGTGTCTGTGTGTATGCAAGTGTGATCATGAATATGTTAGAAAGGAGTGATTCTTCACAAGCTCAGGCAGAGGACTGCCTCAGCCTCCCTGCCTGATTCCAGTATTTTGTACACCTTGGAAGCGTAAAGAATTTTAGCCACGTGACTCAAAATAAGGATTTGTCCTTTCCTGCTCCCCACCCACAAATATTGGGAAGGAATGGCTAGGAAAATGTCATTTGACCTTTATTCATTCAATAAACACTAAGTAAGCACCTACTCTGTGCTTCCTAGGCAGCATGGAAGCGAGAGGCCTGGGAAATGATCTGTCGGGTCCCTCCCTCTTTTCAGCTGCTGCTGTCAGATTGACCCATGCTTTCCAGCCAAGACCTGTAGACAGTTTTGGGATTCTCTTGTTCTCAGGTCCCTCAGATGCCCCCTTGCTTCCTTCTGCATCCTCCTGTGCAGGTGCTGATATTATGGGGTTCTTGAAGCATCCCTGGTTCATTCCTAGTTGCTCAAATTTGGGGGTCTGTGAGCGATATCTGACACCCTTGGTTTGTTACAGATGTTGCACATGGATTCTTGGTTTTTCTCCTAGTTGCTCTTTCTTTATGGAAGAGATTCAAAAAGTACTCCGCAGCCACTTCTGCTACCATCCTCCTAAAATGCTGTTGGAACAGAGCCAGTCTGAGGCTCTCTAAAACAGTCATCCCTCAGAAAGAATGACTTAACCCTCTCATTTGTGGGAATCTTAATTTCGTAAGAGTGACCAGGGTCACAGAGGGCATCAGAGTGTATTTGGGGTGCTGGCAGAAAGCTGACCTGCAGAATTCCAGGGCCCAAGACCTGATGACTTTGTTTTCAAGGGAGACCTCCTTGGCAGATGGAGGGAAGGAAGGCAGTCCCCTAGAACATTGCCCACTGAAAGGGCAAAGATGAGTAGCAGGAAGTTGGGAGTCATGGTAACAGTGATAACAATCACAAGCTTCAGGGCAGAGGTCGCACAGCAGTGCTAAGTGTACTCAGAACATCTGCTGATTCAGGGAGTCTGGAGTGATAAGCCCACATGAGTGGTCTTCCTTGGTCAGCTCCTTCAGGGGTCTGTAGCCCTGTGTTGTTCTAAGTATGACCTGCAGAGCACCTGCCTCAGAATGGGGCAGGAGAGGGGGTTCTGGGTTCTGTATCTTTGTGTCCCTTCCCAAACTGAAAATCACGGGAAACTAAAGGATGTGCCTCTCAACTGTTGAGAAGGACCCCACCCCCCACCGCCGCAAGAGCGCCCAGGAGCACGCTTCTCGCCCCTAATGCACGCGCCGCACACACAGGGCTGACCCAACGTGAGACCAGTTTTAATTGCAAAGCTGCTCCGGGCTTTCCCTCTGCCCTTACCTGCCCCGCCCCTCCCTCCTCTTCTGCTCCACCCTCCTCGCGTTCTCCTCCGCCTCCGCCTCGGGGTAAACTGGGTCTGGCCAACGCAGGGAGCATTCCGCCGCCGCGAGGACAGCCAGAGTCCTTCCACCAGCAACCCCCAGGCCTAGTTCAGTTCGCTTCACTGCAGAGCGTCGATGGAGTCCGCGAGGCTCTCGGAGGGGCCGGGCTCGGGAGGGGCGGGGGCGCCCCTCACCATCCGGCCCAGGGTGTCCCCGCGGCGCGCGCTGGACGCCTCGGAACCGGTGCCCTCCAACAGCTTGGCGACGAAGCCCACGCCGGCCGAGCGCAGCAGGCCGCCGCCGGCGCACGCGTACAGCACGGGGTTCACGCTGCTGCTCAGGAAGGCCAGCGCGATGAACACGTGGCGCGCCAGCAGCAGCGGGTCTCCCATCCGCCCCGGCCCCGGCCCCAGCTCCCTGCCCGCCAGGGCCCGGCCCGCCTCGGCCAGGTTCACCACGTGGTAGGGCAGCCAGAAGGCGGCGAAGGCCAGGATGATGAGCGCCACCAGGCGACCGGTGCGGCGGCTGCGGCGGAAGCGCCGGGCCTGCAGCCTGCGCCTGATGTCCGAATAGCTGGCCACCACCAGCAGGAAGGGCAGCAGGAAGCCGGTAAAGGCCTCGAAGAGCAGATGGAATGCCTTGACTCGTTCGCTGGAGTACGTCGGGAAGCACAGGGTATGGTTGTTCTGTTTCGTCAGGGTGCGGTACATGATGACGGGTGTGGCCAGCAGAAGGGACATCACCCAGATGCTTGCTAGCACCCACCAGGCAACGGCCTTGGTGCGAAACTTCTGGGACACAAAGGGGAGGGCCACGGCCAGCGAGCGGTCCAGACTCATGGCCATGATCAGCAGGACGCTGGCGTACATGCTGACTCCGCAGGTATAGTGAAACAGGCGGCAGCCAACCAGCCCAAATGTCCAGGTGCGGCGCGCCACAGAGTACAGGAAAAAGGGGGCAGTGAGCAAGACAGCCAAGTCCGCCAGGGCCAGGTTCAGCACCAGCAAGGCCGTGACGGAGCGCTTCCGCATCCTCACCAGGATGCTCCACACCACAAAGCTGTTGCCAGGAAGCCCCACAGCCAGCGCCACTGACAGTATGATGATAGTCAATGGAACGATGAACATGACCCCTAGTGAGGAGGTACTGCCCCAGATGTAGTGTCCGTGGCCACTGCAAGGACCTGGAGAGTGAGGGCGAACACAGGCATGAGGGTAGGGGGCTGAGGCTTCCTGCCGCCCTGGACACACCTAGCCTGAGCACTCTGGTCCGTCTCCAAGATCCGCAGCAGGAGATGCACCTCTGCAGTATACCGCCTTCACCCCTTCACCAACGGACCTGGCTTCAGGGGATCTGGCAGAGCACAAAGACCGGTTTCTAACTGGGCCATGGGGCTCCTTCCTGCCCACAGACCCAATTGCCAAATACAGAGCTACAGCAGCAGCAGTATTTCCATACCCTTTCTGCCTCCTTCCCTTCTGAGACCCAGAACCAAACGGGGGAGGGGGGCCTTCCTTACCAAAGCTGCACCCCTCAAAGGCCTAGCTCCTCTGTCACCTGCCAGGCCCTTAGCCCCCTCAGTCCCGTCGACTTCCTCCAGTCATCTACTGACTCTCTTCAGAGCTGCCCAGGGCCCAGCAGGAATAACAGGGATGGGGGGGAGTTTGTGGATAGGAGACAAGAACAAGTCATCCCCGGTCCTTTTACCACTGGTCAGGCTTTCTTTGGAAATTCCTTTGCATCTTCTCTCACAGTTGTATCCTGCCCCATCCCTACCTCCCCTGCTCCCAGGATACTTACTTCCAGGCTTTGCCAGGTACCGGTCGGAAGCTGGTGCCAATCCCAAGGTCAGGGCAGAGTGGCGCAGCCTATCCCCAGGTCAGCCCCAGTTCCAGGGTCCCAGCCCAGGTCTGGGTGCTGTCAGCTAAGTCTGCCAGAGAGGAAGTACCAAGAAGCAGAGGAGGGGGAAGGCACATCTTCCTGAGGGTTGGGCTGAAACTCCTAGCCCTCCCTTCAAGGCGGGGGTGAGGTGGGGGGTGGGGGGGGTGGGGAGCTAGTCTTTGTGTTCCAGAAGAGCCTAGCGGGGAGGAAGGATCCTCATGGGTGGGACCAGATGAGAAGAGCCCAGGAAGGTGTAATGAGAGGAAAGGGGGGTGAGGGGAGTGAGTATGCTGGGGTGTGGCCTCAGATGCAGGTCTAGACTGGAGAATTGGACAGAGTAATAAACTGTCATACAGGAGAAGGAGGGAGGGAAGCCAGAGAAGGGAAATGGGCTCAGATGGAGAGGCCAGAATGTTGGATATCTTTATACGTTGTGTAGATAATGTAGATTTTTAGATTAATAGGAAGCATAGGTTAGACCTGTGGCTAGGTCATGGGTTTGGGTTTAGGGAACATCAGGACTTAAAGAGGACAGCACCCTGTCTTTGGCTTGGATTCAAGCTATGAGTGGAGTTGGAGGGGGATGGCCCTCTTTCAGCACCCAAATCTATTCCCTCATTTAAAAGGGTTGCTTCAGCTCTACGTCAGTCAGTTCTCCCTTCCCTTTGGCAGAAGCCAAAGTCCAAAGGATCTCCTTAGTATCGCACAGAATGCCAGTTTCTCCGCCCTTCCCCAGCCACTTGCCTTACACTCGCCTGTGTGGCTTGCCTACCACATGAATTTGGATTTAAGATCTGGGCACTGGGCAAAGAGGTCGGCACCCTCTCTCTCCTACCTTCCCATAGTTGGCTGTCCAGTCCCACCTCAGACACACAGAAAAGGCCGAGCCTGAGCACAGGGAGAAGAGGCGGGGGCAGTGATGCTTCACAACTGCCCCGCCGGGAGGGGCAACCAGGAACATGCAAAGAGGAACAGCCTCCCCAAATGGTCACTCTTCTCCCTTCCTGGAGGGAGGGCAGTCTCCCCCTGTGACGTCTCCTGCAGGGGCTAAGATCTGAGAAGTCTTTCCTTCAGTCTGACCATGAGCTTTCCTGCTTCCCTGCCAACTCTGTCACTTGTCAGGGAAGATGTGGCATGTGATGGTGCTCACTGAGGTCCCTTACCCTTCTGCTTTGAGAAAAGGCCAGCGCAGAGCAGACCCAGCAGCTATGAGGCAGAGGATGTGATGCAAAGAAACGGGCTGAAACCGCAGCAAGAAGGCAGAGTTGAGGAAGGGCTTTCTGACCACAGATGTTGTGAGACGGGGACTATGGACGAGAGTAAGTTAGGGAGCCTCTGCCCCGGCACATGTGAACAGGAAGAAGCCCCTGCTGTCAGTGTTTGGGGAGAAAGTTCTGGCTCAGAGCTCCAGGGTCAACCAGAGGCTCCTTCTGGCAGAAGCTGGGTTGTCTTTGCTTCCTCTCCCAAACTACTCCCCACCTCCATGTCTCTCAATGGCCTTTATTGCTCCACCCCAGACTAGATACTCTAAGCATACTTCCTGCTCCCCAAATCCAGAGTTCCACTTCCGCCCCAGTTTGGGTGGCCCTGGCGTGACCCTGAGGACTGAATTTCCTTTGTTGTTTCTTGGCCTCGGCCTGGGTGGTGTAAACAGTCACTAATGCAGAACCTGGGGTGATGGTCCCGAGGGAGCACTCACATAAACGGACATCAAAGTTTGCCAGGGGGCGCCTGGGTGGCTCAGTTCGTTAAGCGACTGCCTTCGGCTCAGGTCATGATCCTGGAATCCCGGGATCGAGTCCCGCATCGGGCTCCCTGCTCGGCAGGGAGTCTGCTTCTCCC